AAAAAAACGCTGCGTTAAGTCTAAAAAATTAGGAATTACAATATATTGTAATTCAATTTAATAATAAATAAAATAAATAAATAAAATTACCATATTTTATATATTAACCACTTTTAAAGGGTAGGGCATAAAAAAACGGATTTTCGTGTTATATTTTTAAGTATTGTTTGAAAATATAGTGAACTAGACTTACTGATAAAAATCAAACAAAATATTATTTATTTTTTTAACTATAAGTAGGTGTGATAAAATATAATTCTCTTTTTAGATTCTAAGTGCAGCGAGGAATGTATTAATGTTACATGATGTATATTTTTATTATTATTATTATTTTTTTTATGTGAATACTTTTTTTACCAGAAAGCATACTCCAGTTATCCAGTATGGTATCTTTTCTGAAAGGAAATGTTCTCTGGGTAGTACTTTAAAGAGGCCAATTTTGGAAATTATCATTAATATTCGAGTAAATGAGGAAAACCTCGGTCTTAAGGTTAAAAAAGATTGAAAGATAAAATTATTAAATAAACTTTATTTTTACATAGGTTGTATGGTAATTTGACAACCGTTTTTATTATTATTTTTATCTTTTTTAAAAAATCATCGTTGTTATGGAAACACACATTGTTGTAATCATTTTACCATAATATGGCCATATATTGTATTGTTGACAAAGTAACACTATCAACTGAACTCCGCTCAGAATCGTTTTTTCGTTGACAATGGTTTATCGTTGCTAACATATATACATTCAATTCCCGTCTATATCCTATCTTTCCATCGTCTCATCTTCAACAGTGGCTGCACCTACGTGCGAAGTATGTTCGTCCTTTTGATTATTTTATAATATTTATTTTATGTAGGGTGTTCAACAAGGATTTGACAAATACAATGACTTTTATTCTATTTGATATTTTTAATATATTTATTATTATTTAATTTGTATGCCTCTGCGCTACTTTATATATGAACCTTTTTTTTTTAGGTGGAGGAGACTCAAAATAAAAAAAAAAAAATCGAAATAGCCGTTTTGAAAAATAGGTTTTTAGAACATTTTTATTAGTTGAAATTTTTGTTAAAGTATGGTCTTATATTTTCTGCGATTTTTTGAAAATTTGAATACAATTTTTTTCAATCATAACAATATTGTTTATCAATATAAATGACCTTTATTGATTGATTAATATTAATACCTATAATATGATAAGTATTATTACATGATATTTATTCATGGAAAAGAAAATCTATGGCATGTGCCCTGACTGAATAAGTGATTAAATATTGTAGTAATATTCACATTTGCAAAAACTTCAAAAAATATTATAAAATAAAAGACCAAACAAAAGTTTCAACCACCAAAAATGTTTTAAAAATCTATTTTAAAAATGCCTATTTTTGAATTTTTTTAAAAAATTATAGTAAAATTTTAAATTTTTTGTTTTAAGTCCGCCACTAATTAAAAAAAATATGCTCATAATACAGTTCGATTATCAATTTACAATACACAATAAATGTTGTGATTATTTTTGAAAAATATTCCAAAACAGACAGCAGATTCTCGAAAGCTGCAGGCGTACTTACCCATTTTTAATGGAGGGGGGGAGATATTGCAAATAGAAATTAAATCTATAAGCAAAACACATCTCACTTTATTTCACATATAGTCATCTTTTTGACGTTATATTGTAAAATACACACGTGTGGTATATGTGGTACACATTTAGTGTACAGTACAATATTATATTTTGCACTTACTATAGTTAGTCCCTAACCAATGTAAAATGTTTAGTGTAATCAATTATTTGCAGAGATGTGTTTGCATTGTTGATGCCATAGGGTAGTTAGAAACTGTTTCTTTAGTGTTGTTTCATAAAAACAATATTTTTATCAACATTCTAAAATTTCGAGTTGCGCATTTTACAATTATACACACTACTTTAGGCCCTGCTGAGTGAGAATCTTAGATGTCGTTAATAATAAAAAAACTCTTATTTGACCGTGTTTTAAATGTCTTAAAAGAATATGGCGCCTCTTGAAATGTGGCGTCCGGGTCAATGTTCCCCCTACCCCCTAAATACATTTCTGATTATATAATTTTGAGTTTTCAATGCTGAATATGTTTTCTTGTATATATATATTTAAACACGGACAATGGTGAGGGGAAGGGTTACTGAAACCTACTTAGCCTCCTCACATTATATGCAACTGTTCTCGATAAATTTACTTTTTTACAAATTTAAATGGCGCCCACTGAAATGTATACCTAGCTACGCACGTTATAACTCTCGACACACAATATACATCCTACGGACGAAATGCTCTCGTTAATGTTTTGCATTAGCTGGAGGTTTACATCGCTGTACATATACTCGTATTAAACACCTACATCGTGATGTAAATAACTGCAGGAAACTTGTATGTATTTAAAATACTGAGTATATTGCGAAATTCCAGGATGCACGTGATGCTAATGATATATGGTTTTTTTAAGATTTTAACCGATACATCGGTTTCACCATACTATAATGCGATGTGGTACTTGAAATACTCACGTTAAAATTTTCCAGATGTGGTATAATTCACAAAATATTCTACTAAATTGTAACCCTATACAACAGGGATGGGTTAATCAATGTTACTGGAGAACCAATTTTTAGAACTTTAAAATCTAGCAGGCCAAAAACATAGAAAGTAGAAAAAAGAGTCAATAAAATTTATAATTCACAATTGACATTTATTTTTTATATTTAATTATTTATAAATGTGGTATGTATTAATTAATTTGAAAATAAAGCACGGACCAGTGAAAAATGGTACGCCAGATGCCCATCCCCGCTGTATAATATAATATTGGTTACTTCTTCAACTTCCTCTCTATAATTGAAATTTCCTGTCCATCAAGTCATTAAAATAATAGAGCTGCACTATTATGAGAAATTGTAGCTTGCCTCCATTCTTAATTTTTTTTTTTTAGATTTTATACCAAAATCTTATTTCGATTTTCTTGTTCAGCATCTTTCTGAAATAATTTTCGCCTTGTTGGTGTATTGAGGAGGTTATTTTTAGATTTTTCTTGAAAGTTTCTTGATTATCGAACAACATGAACAGATTTAAGAAAAAAACGGGTAAATTTATGACGATGAATGTTTGATTATTTTATTGTACATATGACATGGTGAGATGGTGGTTTGAATACAGTTTCACTAAACAACCGAAAACATGAATTATCAAAAACCAAACAATTAGAATCGGTATAAAAGTTTTTCCTAATCTTAGATCATATATGATGTACATTATATTATTTTTACTTTTAGTCTTAGGTGCATTGTTTTTTTTTTTTTTTTTTTTTTTTTT